GGTTGATAAACGGATATCTCGCCTACGCCATAAATGACGCAAGTTGGCAAAAGCTAGTCGAGCCTTCTGTATCCGTGCTGAGATTTCGTCACACACCAGACCACAAGGGCTGATGAGACTTCCAAGATAAGTGAAGAGATCGACACGCTCAATTACTTCACTCCCTATCATTAGTTCGGGTGTCAATGCAACCCAATCCTGAAGCAACATTTTGCATTTCCAGGGAGAGAATCGCATCCCGAACATGCTTGCGTTTTTGCTTAGAGTGGTCAGAAGACTCTGCATTTTGTCAGCGTCTTCACCAAATAAAACTATGTCATCTGCATATTCTAAGTCAACAAGTGAACCTTCCGGTAGAAGTTCAACCTCTGGAAATCTAGACGAGGAAAGTGTTATCTCTAATAGTACGTCGACGACAAAGTTGAGCAAGAATGAAGAGAGTGGACAGCCCTGACGAACACTACATGAGGTAATCAATTCTGGTGACAGTTCACCATAAGCTCTCACTCGACCAGTTGTGTTCGAGTAGAGAGCCTTTAAAAGGTTAATGTACTTCTTTGGTACTCCTTTCAATGACAAACACTGCCATAGAACCTTACGATCGACAGAGTCGAATGCTGCTTTAAGGTCGAGAAATACTACAATTGTGGGGCGTCTGAATGTGTGTCTGTGTTCTAGAACCTGACGTAGTGTGAATATGTGGTCTATACAACCACGTCCAGGTCGAAAACCGGCCTGGTTTTTTCTAGTCTGCTCTTCACGAGCTTTAGTTAGGCGTCGAAGTATTATTGAAGCTAATATTTTATACACTATTTGTCAAACTGATTCCTCTGTGATTGTCACAAGAGGACTTTTGTCCTTTCTTATAGACTAGAACAATCAGTGAATGAGACCAGTCAGATGGGATTACGTCCAGTTCCCAAATCCTACCTAAGACCTCAGCTAATCTCACTGCTAACACTGAACCACCATCCTTAAAAATCTCAGGAGTAAACCTATCAGGGCCTGCTGCTCTCCCTCTCTTCAGATTTCCTATGGCTTTTTCAACTTCGTAAAGAGACGGAGGACCTACATTAACTTGCCATTCAGGTTGACTGGAGATCGTGGGAAACCGAAGTGTGGCTGAAGGCCAGTTGAACTGATCCCTAAAGTGTTCTGCCCATCGATCCAATCTCATGGATTGAGAATGTTTAATATGTCCATCTTTCTCTGAGAGTGTTTCGCTAACAGTCGGTTTCCTAATACCGGTTTCCTTAACAAGTCTGAACAATTGTCTGCTATTACCTATTGCCGCTGCCTTTTCCATCTCTCTTGCTTTCGCTACCCACCACTGTTCACGATCATTGCGTAGACTTCTTGTCAGCTTGCGCTTAGGCTGACTCTGCTCTTCATTATGTTCAGAGCCAGGTGGAGTGAGTTTTCGAGCATCTATCAGTGCGGTAGATGCTGCTGAGATCCAGTGTTTCTCCCTAACCTTACGGGTTACCGAACTAGCAGATATCACTGCTGATTCCACAGCTTTTCGGATATCATTCCATGCTGCCTCGGGGTGGGCATCACATACATGGCTGTCTAACTGTTTTCCTAGTTGTTCCTGAAATATACTCTTAGCTTGACTATCATTAAGTAGGGCCCTAAGAGGTTTCCTTGCAGCGTCTTTCCTACGTCCAGTAAGACGCAGGCAAATACGCGCTCGCACTAGAGCATGATCTGAATCTAGGCATGTGCTCCAGAATGAGCGACAGTCTTCTATCGAGCCCCTCCATCGGTGGCTGATAGCGATGTGATCTATTTGGGTCCAACGTTGGGACGAATTAGGGGGTTTCCATGTTAAGAGATGTTTTTCCTTAAGCATAAAGTTAGTATTTGCAAGGAACAGGCAGTTATCTGAGCATAGCTGCAACAGACGGTCGCCATTATCTGTTCTTTGAGCCACGATGCTATAAGATCCACCCAGGTGTCTTTCCCTATCGCTTAGTTTACCTACTTGAGCATTAAAGTTACCGGCCATTATTACTACATCCGAGCGCCTAGCGTTTCGGAGAAGGTCCGAAAGCTTTCTGTAAAACTCATCTTTTACATCATCTGCGCTGCGGTCAGTGGGAGAATAGGCAGAGACGACGAAGAGGCAACGACGAGTGTCCCTATCTTTTCGGATTCTTACTGTTCCGTTTAGTTGGACAGCGCACAAACGACTGTCTACTGGGATCCACTCTAAGAGAGCTAGTTCTGACCTAGGACTCAATGCTATACCTACGCCGGCGAGGCCACGGCAAGCAGAATCAGGGCTTCCAGATACATGAAGTGTGAATCGAGTCGGTTCTTTATTTTGGCATGGTGAGGTCAAGTGAATGACGCTACTCGGATCCTGTATGCGCGTTTCGGAGACGCAGCACACACCCATGGAGCGGGATTCTAAAGTCCTAGCTAAGGAAGCCCGTTGTCCTATTTGGCACAGTGTTCGGACGTTAAAAGCTCCTACGTGTAGTTTAGAGCGTGGTTTCAGGAGACCAGGAATAGCGTTCCGCGTACTCGAATCGTTTGCCCTAGCGGTGCAAGGTGATAAAGAGACGTGAGGAGGGTTAGTCGGGGAGATAAGAGTGGTATAAGGAGGTGTAGGAAGGATTCGGATGTGACCAACTTGGTCTCATGTGCTGTTACAGGTATGAGGGCTGGTGTCACTTCCCGGCTGTCCACACCGTGGAAGGGTATTTCTTGAGGAGCCTGAAAAGGAAATTGAATTAGTGTTGGTTTTAAAGACCTGGGAGCGTAACCACCGAGCCCAAGGGACAACTGCTTGAGGCCGGTCGCGCAGGGCCTTTTCGTGGAAGGTTTTTAATGTGTTAGCTCCGTTCTTCAAAGGGCCTTACCGCCGGAGACGGAAATCCGTGAGGTAAGGTGAGGTGTGACATTTTTAGGGTCGACCTTTTCTAACCCCACCCCTCCTTGTGGGAAGGCAGCATCGCTGCAGATGCTGGTTGTCCGAGAGAAACACCTTACTGCTGTCACACCCCTCTACAGTCAGCAGTACGACTTCGCCCTCAGACCTTGAGTTGCTGCTTTTAGTCTTACCGTTCTTCAATCGACCTGCCTGGCATGGTAGAACCTACAGAAACATATGTTCCAGCCAAAATAGCTAAGTTGGGTCATCACGATAGGCAAGCCCGACCACCGCGTCAAGGTAGCAGCTTTGTTCGGGATAAATTCATGAGTGTTCCAAAAGTCTAACTGCTTTAAAACAAGATTTATCTAATCATATAGTTATCTAAAAAAAACGTGGGGGCATATTTTTAGAATAAAATATAGACATGGACTTAGTGTGGAGATCTAATCAATTGAGAGATATTCATGAAGAAACGATACTATGGGCGGAGAAATCATCGTCAATGAGTATCTGAAAATTCGACTGTCAGAAAATTTCACCCAATATTAGCTCTAATATGTACCAATATTCATGCATCCAGTAACGTACCGAGTCCTCTCATTTACGAAACAATTCAAGTACTTATATCTCTCATTAACATGACGATGTATCAAGGGTAAACACAGAATACATTTTACACATATTCTACACAACACAAAACGCATCAATATTAGTGATAGGTAACCGAAATGTACTAGTCCAACACAATCCAAAATAGCACTGACTTATACAACTTGTGTTCTTTTCGGTCGTTTCTAAATCTAAAAAGTAACAACATTCCAGAGAGGATCAAAACAAACACTAACCTAATTATTATATTCTCTCAGTAAAATTAAAAGATAATTGGGGACTAAAAACATAATTATAATACAAGGTCATTACAACTGACATTGTTAGTTAATGGTAGACAGTCAAATGAGAGCAGAAGGATCAAATATGGAACACGAGGAAGGCACTATACCATATGATAAAGCGACTCTTTATAGAATCTATAGCCATTATGAAGATCATATAAGTGAGGGGCTAGTATATGGTTCGATTTCATCGCAGTAAGGTATATCATACGATTTCAACGCTATTAATGTAGGGTTCCCAGACACATGTATAATTAGATGACAAAGGCCCCATCTCTGGTTGGTAGTACGGTGATGACTATTTCATAGTTTCACAATAATATGTGACCTAGTGATTGTATGTCAAAAGTAAGGATGTGTAAGTTTTTTCTAAAGCTAATAAGGGAGTACTGTGGATCGTCAAAAACAACTTTGAAATGACCACTGGTACAGTATGCTATTCCAAGATGCAGTTATTTAAACTTATATTTGTGAGACGATTCACACTGAAAGATAAGTTTGTCTGTATAACTATACTTCGGTGAATAAGTCACAGTTCATAATGGAATGCAAGTTATTATATTTCGTTTATTTATAAATATCAACAGCTATAGCGAAAAACAGTTAAAAATTCATTATGAACTCGTCTATGAAGAATTTCTTTTGGACGGACTCTTCCATTAGACAACTTTTTCATCATAAGATGTACTTCTTCAGGACAGTTGTCTTTCGATAACAGTAAATAAATGCAGCCGTGCGGTGAGAGCAAATTGTAAGCTTGACTTAAAAATGGGTCAATCACCTGAAATTCAGTTAAGAAAACGCAATGTAAAAATAAGGGGGTTGAAGGAAGGACGAACAATATAAACCATATTATTTGACACACCACAAGCAAATTATGGTATAAAGGAATATGGGGAAATCTTCAGCAAGCGTTTAATACATCTAGTACATTTATTTGTGAGAGTTCCAAAAGATCATATTAATCTCAGATTAACAGAACAAGTTTTAGGAGCAAGTGACTTAAGCCAGCAAATTAGTGCTTACAGATAGGGAATTCGAAATGCAGGGAAAGACGACATTTGGTAATTTTATATAGAATCTTCAAAATGAACCTTCCACTTTATTCATTACTATCTAATATATTTTCATGTTGAATGACGGTTTCGGTATACAACACAATTACATAACAGAGTACAGAACTATCAACAAAAGGAATAGTGAGAAAGTACTAACACAGTGAGTGGACTTCAGTGCATAACATCCAAATAAGATACTAAACTTGGATTAAGTTCTGCAACTTCCATTGATTTCTGTGATGTTGCCTCAAGACCGGTGAAATTAAATCGGTTGTTACACACACTGAGTTTACCGAAAAAACACCAAAAATATGCTTATGCCTGCAGGAAGATTTGGAACGACAAATTTATAACTTTTAACTGAATCAAAAAAACCAGCAAAGTAGTCTTACTTTTCTTCCCAGTCGCCCACCAGACCATGAGGCAACTATAGTCGAACCAGCAGCTTTGTGTTCGTCTGACGTTGTCGGTACATAGGGAGGATTAAACATGATTAAATCCACACTTTTATATAGTCTAGACAAGAGGGGAGTTGCTAAAGAACAATTAATTACATCATATGTCACCGATGTACTAGGAACATTTACGTTCAGCACACGTAGAGAAGCGTAACATGCCTACAATGGTAAGATAGTGATTAAATAGCCGCATACAGTGAGTGATATGTCGGTGCATATGTGGAAGAGTGGTTTTGAAATGGATGAGCAAAAGAATGCACTGATAACTCCACTACCGCTTCCAACTTCAAGAGTTAAAGTGGGCCTCAATTCGGACAAAAATCCAGAATCCAACTCCAAAGCATCTAAAAATAAGTAGGAATCCTCAGATGGTGGGTAGACTTCTGAAAACTCTGATTCGTTTATACAAGATGTTATTGGAGTGGTCATGAGATAGATAAGTAGAGATACGAGGGACACCTCAGAGTATAGACCTAAAATGTTGAAAGCATTGTGGGATGAATGATGATAAACTCAGACCCGATACAAAACATCTCAACAATTTTATGAAATACGTCGTTTTGTGAGTTACACGAAGCAAAATTGGTGATGACTATGGTTAGGGGCTCGATTTTCAACGATTATGTCGTGTAAAACCTGTTTCATTGAATCTCAAAATACACGTATTACTTCTAGTCTTTGCATCAGTTGATCAGAACCCACACAACCTACTCTAATAACTACAACTCTGAATGAGCACTTCTAGCATTCCAGTACATCATTTATTCGCTTCCAATGGCACACTGTGGTAACCAGCTTTGGGAGAAAATCGATCAGTATTACAAAACAAGTGACTGATCGAATTAATGTGGGAGCTGATTGGACGTTGGTGGAATGCTGTACAACTGTGGTTAGTTGTAGTTACACAAGACATTTCCCCCTCCAGATGACTTTTAGGTAGGTTTTGAGTTGAACTCAGCATTCGAAAGCATCTTCAACTACTCTACAACCAATATTAACCAGGATGACATACTACGGAGTCATTCGGGCAGGTCAGGTAGGTGGATTGATGTTTATATGTAGGATACAAACTTCAGAAAACACAAGGACAAAGAACGTCAGAGCACAAACACATATGAAGAGTCTGAGGTTAGTAAAAGTCCAGTTCAATATCCTGACGTCAATATTTCCACCAAGAATTTCTCATCTATCTTCCAGTAAATATTCACTTCGTAGACTATTAGCATTCATTTCTTCTAATAACAAATTTGTGTCACCACACAACTCCTCCAATTCAAAGCCCGTCACATTACAGACCGTACACAAAAGTTTGATTTTATCGGCGCCTATTAACATTCCTGAAGTGCGTAAGTTATCACAAAGATAAACACTGATGATGTTGAAAGTTAGTGATTCATCGAATCGACAAATCAGGTTAGAGGACGCGTAAGGAAGTCTGTTGACATTAGATGTAAGATTAGATGCAACATGGGTTCTTGGTTATTAGAGATCACGCTTCACACATCTGAAGGGCTTATTTGTTGCGTCCTAAGTTGTACTCTCTGTATACTACGATCAATATAACAAAACTACCGGGGGTCAACAGAACAAATTCATGCAGAACGGAAAGACCAGCCGGCTTGCATTTTACTGTTATTAGCTACTAAGTATACACCATATAGGACGAAAAGCAAAATTAGTATTAGCAATTACTGCTTTTACCCTACGATTTTGAGTAGTGACGACCAGATGTTCTGTGTCTACGACTTAGTGACCATTTACTTTGAGAGAAGGGCCATAAGGAAGCAGACTGACTTTGCATGTCAGACTCACTTGCTGGATGCAAGATATGAAGTACATCTGTGGCAATGTCATTTGATGTCAAGCGAAAACGTAAGTATACAACAGTTAAAACAGTTCTGTTTCTATGCACTTATATTCCCGATGAACAGATCCTTAAACAAACTAGCAGTAACTTTTTTGCTTCCACTTCATAGTCAGGTGGTCAAGTATTGAGCTGTTGGTTCACAACTCGATGAGAACAAGTTATCACAACTGATGTTATTTCCAGTCAGTCTATCCTATATTTTGAAGCTAACGACGCCTTTGGAATGAGTATTTAAAATTCAAAAAGTCACTAACTTCAGTTCAGAAGTCACTAACTGAGCTAAAATAGACTGATATGAACAACGACTTTGGACCAACACGACCTTGGAATTCAAGTCAGTGCGCGGCCGTTGTATTTGATATCGAACTCCAAACGCTTACTATAGGTAATAAAGAAGTGTCAGTTCATCGGACTCTCGCAAAAGTCTCTGAGAGGCTTGAAACGGTTAAATAATGAATAACATATGAGAAAGTTGTTAAATATGTCTCGAGTAATTTTTGCAACGGGAATATCAAGCTTCTTTTCAAAAGAATCATGGCCATCTATGTCGTTTTTTCACTCTGTAGTTTTCAGACTGCGACCGAGAAGATTTGCATGTATTTTACATGTACTCTATAGTGTTCTGACAAGCCTAGTACATGTTGGAAGTGTGATACGCGCATTTCAGACATGCTAATATTCAAATCCCGATCTTAGTACTAGAATAAGAGGTCAGTAATGACAGAAGATAGTCAGAAACAGCTACGATCAATCGCCCTAGGCTGTAACACTGATCTCAGTTGATCCAGACCTTACTCTAATGGTCATGTTCGACCAAACTCATGGTTATGGTATGATTCACTGCATGACTTCGTAACAGCTCAGGTTGGTTGGTTAAGAGTTGACCCCAAACAACCAAGCATATGCAAAAACAGTATTGTTCAAGTATTCATTCACTTCCTTATTTTTTATAAGCGTTATATTCCCTATTATCTTATATTGAATGTTGAGAGCCTTTGTTTGTCTGAACAGATAATCCCACACTCCACTGTGACTGCGCGAAGATCGAAATAAAGACCTATTCATTACTTCTCTGGTTTCTTCTATCAATAGCACGAAGGTTACCTTAAGGTACGTCCAACACTGTTTGGATGCACAAGATCCTGAAACCACATTATCTAATTTAGCGCGTATAGCCGATAGAATAATGGAAAGAGGTGATCCAACTGGATCAGGCACAATAAATCACACACAAAAAGTAAAATCAGCAAAAGACTCCGTCATAGAAGGACTCATTGCGAGTGTTAAGAGTCTCACTGAGACTTA